TTTGCAGATGTTTTGACTAAAGCATTGCCCAAAGCAAGGTTCGCACAACTAAGGAAGAGTTTGGGAGTTTCCAGCAAAAGTGCCAAGGAGGAGTGTTGAAGTAGGTGGATTGTGGCACATTTGCTGTCACATCTTCTTCTGTTTTTTTGTAGTTTGTGAAGCAAAGTTATTAATGAGCGTATGGTGTATGGTACGGGAGAGTGCCTTACTTCTGTGGACAAAATCTTTTTTATTTGTTTTTGTTTTGTTGAAGACCACGTCTTCTTGCTCTATCTGTCTCTCTCCATATACGTATCTATAATGTATTGAAGTTACTGTAGAAAAACAGAAAACACATGTTGCTATTCATTTTTTACTTTTCCGATTGTTCTTAGTTCTTCAAGTTTGCTCTATCTATTAGCCTATTTCCATCTTCCATCCTCTGCTCTTTCAAAAAACCAACAAAATCTTAGAGCAATACAATGGTTTTCAGCATCTTAAAGAGCTGGTAGATGTTGGCGGTCGTCTAGGCGTGACCCTTAAACAAATCACTTCTATATACCCACATATTAAGGGTATTAATTTCGACTTACCTCATGTTGTAGCAAATGCACCTTCTTACCCAGGTATGTAAGAAGGTGCATTTGTATATATATATATATATATATATATATATAAAGGTATTTTGACATTACTGGTTTGTTGGTTTTAGAGAAACGGGTTTTCACCCAACGCGTCAGGCACAACTGAACCATATGTCAGTATAAATAAGAATATCATTAAAGTTTACAAAGGCTATAGATATTCATAGTGGTTTGAGAGTAACTAATCATTTCTAAATATAATTGTCATGTTGTAGAACTCATGCATTTCCCCTGCTTTCATTACTTTTTTTTTTTTTTCAGAAGAGTTTTATTACTCTGAGTGATGTAAAAGTTTTACCACAATGTTCATCTAGTCCCCCACAAAATGAACTAATTAAAAAAGAAAAAAGTGGTTTATATGGCGGTGCTGCTAGTTGGGGCACTTACCCCCTACTCAATTCCTTTCTTTTCTTTTCTTTTTATTTTGAAAACAAAACAAAATAATGTTTTATTTTTATTTTTTTGGAAGTGTAATTTTTACTAAGATCGCATAAATATATATATGTTCGGAATTTTGGATTTGTATTATTGGCATTATTTTGTAAATTAATTTGCCAGCTTTGAGGCACCGGCTCCCTGAAACTTATTGCTGGGCATGCTGAGATGATGTAGCAACGGAGTGTGGGCAAGTGGATTGTGGATGCATCATGTATTTTGAAAACGCTGTTGAACTTTATGTGTATAAAGTAAATAGTGTTTTATGAATATAAATGAGTTATGTAACGAAACTTGAGTTTATGAGACAGTGAGGCTGTGCATAGCAACCTCTGGTCACAAGGTATGATTAATGTAACAAAATGCTAGCAAAATGCTACATCAATAAGACGTATGAATGGTTGAAAATAAAATGCTAGCTAAATGCTACAGTATTTAGAAGTACGAATGGTTGAAAACAGAATGCTAGTTAAATGCTATAGCATTTAGACATACATGGTTAAACAAAAAATTTAGTTTGAATTTTTAAGAGGTTATAATTAGAAAGTAGTAAAGGTTAAGTAATGCTAAGTATGAACATAAGATGATGATCAAAAGTTAAGGTCGTCACAGTTTATGTATAGGTAATGAACTAAACGAAACACAATTTAAAGTGGGGTCAATAGGCACAACTCATAGGAAGAAAAGTCATGATAACCAACACATAAGTAAAGCCAAGGCCCAACATAAATGAACTAACAAGTGTTCTCACCCCCAAACTTCAAGAGAAACATTATCCTCAATGTTTAAATAGTCAATTAAAGCACAAGGAAACAAGAACGCATACAAGGCGAGACGATCTGGCCTCCTAATGTGGTCGGCGAAGATTCTAAGAGCATAATGGCATATACTCAGGCAGGTGAAGGCTTTTCTCCATAATTTGCATTTTGAGGCTGAATTATTCCGATGCCGTGGAGGCTTCTCAAAGAGTGGCTTCGGGTCATAGTACGTGTCATATATAAATATTATGTCGAGCTACACAATTATACAATGTCTGACTTGAGTTGTGATTCCAATTGGTGAAATAAACAAGGCTTAAATAACACAGCTAGGTAGCTGTTTGTAATCTGAAACCAAGGGCACGTACTTTTGGACGTGCCTATCTCTACTAGTCTCCACTAGTTTTATAAAAGTAATTAATCTATTAATGTGACTTCATACAGTTGACTAGTTGTTATATTATATTCATTAATTACCAATGACAAAATATAGTCTTTTATTCTCGAACCTTGACTGAAAAGACTTTTTCCAAAGTTAATGATCTTTAAATATATCACAGCAAAATTGGTATATCTGATTCGTTACACTATAATGACATAATATCTTTAGTGAAGACTTTTCCTAGTTAGAAAACTTGCCGTTTTGAAAGATTATTTTAATGTAGGCTCATTTCTCTAATGTGTTTGACATTTTGTACATATATTAAAGAAAATTCATAGCCACAATATTGTCTCACCCCCACCCC